TTTGGAACCCCAGTTTCCTGCATCCTTGATATTTCTCTTTCCTAATTTACTCTTATTTTGATGAGAAAATTAGCATCTTGAAAAAGTGTGCATTAGAAGCAAATGTTTTAAGTCCTTGCATACTGAAAGGCTTTATTCTGTTATATAGTTTAATTGATAGTTTGGCTTGTAGAGAACTCAGATTGCAAGTCAAAAATTTCCCTCAAAATTTGAAGACAATTCTCAATTATCTTCTAGCTTCCACGGTTGCTTTTGAGAAGTCTGATGTCATTCTGATTCCCTATGTTTTGTATGAGACCTATTTTTCTCTCTGGAAGATTTTAAGACCTCTTCTGTATTCCAGGTATCATGAAACTGTACAGTGAGGTGTCTTGTAGCTTTCCCCCCTTTACCTGTGCCTGGGTGAGCCCTTTCAATCAGGAAATTATGATTCAATTCTGAAAATATTTGATTTGGGAAATTTCAATTTTGTCTTCCAAACCCAATTCTGTATTTAAAAATAATGTTAATTTCTAAGAGATTTTTCCTATTCTCTGTTCTTGTTTCATAGAGGCAATATCTTACTTCTCTGTAGCTATTATTGATAACTTTTAAAAAACTTTTCTATACCAGGAGTTGGCAAACTACAGCTCACAGGGCAAATCCAGCCAGTATCTTGTTTTCATATGGCCTATAAGGTAGAAATAGTACTTACATTTTTAAAGCATTAAAGAAAAAACAGAGATGGCAATTGGCCTGCCAAGTTTAAAATATATACTGGCTGGCCCTTTACAGAAAAAGTTTTCCAATCCCTGTTGTATTCTACTGCATTGTTTCTGTTTCCTTGGAGCCCTCCCACCCCTTCTTGTTTTGTTTATATCGTTTTATTATTAAGTCTCTGTCTCTCATGTTAGAGACTTTCTTTGTCTATCTGGTAGAGATGCTTTGCACTCATTTAAGAGTAAGCCACTAAAATGCTGACTGACAGCTCTGTATGTACGGGTGGGGCACAAAACCTGTAGGCTTCAATGTAGGGTAATCTGGTGGGAACAAGGCAACTTTATTACTACTTGTAGGCCGTTACTCTTGGGGTGGTCAGTTTCTCTAGAGAGGAATACTATACTTTCCAGCCTTGGAAATAATAAGACTGATTGTCAGCCTACTCAGAGCTGAGGGAAAAAAAAGGGGATGGGGGTCCTCACATTCAGTATGTAGACTTTTCTTAATCCCCATCCTTAACACATCCTTAGCTGTGACTGGTATGGAAGAATACAGAGCCTCTCTGGTTTATCCTCTCTAGAGGGTAGGCCTGGGTGGGGAGGGAGCTTCTAACAGCTGAAACTAACTTGCAACAAATCCTCCTTTTTTAAAGGAGGTTGACACTTACCTTCACTGACACTTTTAGAGTGCCCTCAAGTCCTAAAATCTTCCAGGCATGAATCTGAGGTTCTTGTTGCTTTTACCACTACAGATTTAAATATCAGCTTTCTCTTGCCTGCTAAGTCATTCTGCTTTCTAGCTTTAAAAAATTTGTTGACATCTTGTTTCCTATTGTCTCCTTTCTCATTCTTTTTAACTTTATAGGTTTGATATTTTTATTCCTTTACTGCCATAGGATTTTGAGAGGGGGTAGAGATCAACATAAATGTTAGATTTTTTCACAGAGACTTTAAAAATCTAAATTTTATATGATATCCTTTTTTCATATTATATCAAAGTAATGTGTAGGTTCCAAGGCATCTGTTTATAAAATTGGGCAGGGTAGGAAGTAGATGGATACTGCTAACATTACACAACAGTGTTGAAAAGCAATGGAGTCAGGGTCCCACTCTATTTTGGTTCCACTTTGGTTATGTTTAAAGTGGCCTATGGCAGAAGAACATTTCAGCTAACAAAACACTTCAGAGAAAAAGGTTTCACCTTCTCTTTTTTTCCATTGTTTTCATACTGCCTTGCTCATATAAATTATGTCCACCTGAGACAAAGATTATACTTTTAGTAAAGCACACCAGTTAGGAAATTCATAGTGCAGTTTGTAACCTGGTCACAAAACCATCTGGTATATTCCCGAAGGCTGTTATTACATTTCATAGGCTTATATTACTTCAAATACTCTTAGCAGTCCAATATGGCCTTGGAAAAAAAAGATAAAAATTTTTAAAACTCTATTTGTTTCTCACTTTAGACCTTTTAGATATATTCCTTATAAGAGCGACTCAGAGTATAATCAGCTTTTCTGACAATCAACCCATATTATGAGTTTTACCAAACGATGTAAAATATTTGATTTTTAAGAAGATATGTTCTTTCATAACAAGTTCCTGCATGTTGATATTGTTTCCCTGAAAATCAGTAAAATGACAGCTGGGCTCTCCATTTCTTTTTTAATTAATAAAATATTAAAAGCATAGTATTACATGTCAATATAACAAACACATAGCTTTATTAAATTCTAGACAAGCATGTTTTGAAGCTCTCTGGGCAATGTGGGATACTGAAAAAAAGCACTAAATTTGGCATTTTCACTAGTTGTACAAGCATTTAATTGAGCACCTATGTTCCAAGCACTGTTGGTTGTTGAGAATGCAAAAATGCATAATCCATGTTTAGAGAGGGAGACAGATGTACAAACAGATTATTATGATACAATGAGATATTAATGTATTACATGTTATGGGTTTACTAAGGAGGAAGTAAATAACTCTAGATAGAGAAATAAATAAAGTCCTCAAAAAGGACATGATCTTCACTAGGCTTTGATTGGTAAATTTGCCAAATGAAGTGTAAGGGAACATATGTGCAAAAGCAGAGGGTAATGAAAGGATATGGTATGTTTAAAGGATGGTGAGAAATGTAGTGGACAGAAGTTAGGATGTAAGGATGAAAACGCAGGTCTTGAGGATTTAGAATTAGGTGGGAAGGGAGCCCTGGTGGCGCAGTGGTTAAGAGCTCGGCTGCTAACCAAAAGGTTGGCAGTTCGAATCCACCAGCACCTCCTTGGAAACCCTATGAGGCAGTTATACTCTGTCCTATAGGGTCGCTATGAGTCAGAATCAGCTTGATGGCAATGGGTTTGGGATTTTTGGCAAGATGGGAAGGTCCATTTAGCAACTATGTGACCTTACACAAGTAATTTAATCTCTCTCAATCTGTTTTTTTTTTAATTAACATTATCAGGTAAAACATGGAGTACCAACATGCCTTGCTATTGGAAGAGATCAATGGAAAATTCAAATGAAATAATACATGTGAAAAAGGTTTATAAATGGCAAAGTAGGTTACAAATGTATCTTTTGCTTTGAATGTTTCTTAAATTTTAAGTCATGGCTTAAAGGAAAAAAATAAATAAACTGAGGTAAGAATATTTATTTCCTTGAAGCTGAGTACAGTGATTAAAAGTGAAGAATTTCAAATATATATTCAATCTTTCCTGAAGATTACTGGATGAATACTAAAATTAAAAACAAATAAACCGGTCAATCAGCAGAGAGAGACAATGTAAGCAGATGAAATGCTTGAAGAAAAATTTGCAATGTGACTTGATGCCAAGTAACAATGAGACTTCTAGGCAGAAAAGGGCAGTAGGGTATCAACAGATTAACCATAGAACTGAATCACTCAGTTTGAAGAAAAAGACTTGCAGAATAACACACTGAAATAAAGACCAACAGAAATGGGAATATAAGTGGGTGAAGTGTTCTGGGACTTAAATTCAGCCATTGCAGTTGCATGTCATCAGGTATATGCATATCTGAATTTAAATGCGATCTGGTCTGCTTCAGTGCAAATGGGCTAATTTGAGTACCCAAGATACTTGAGAAAAACCTAAATTCCAGGTTTGGTTAGGTCAGATTATGGTTAGCTGGGGATCTTCTGGCTGAACTGCAAATATGTCAAATGGTCATGTTTTTATGATTTACTTTCAACCTGTGCTGTTTTATTTGCATTATCTGAATCTCTCATAGTTTCACTGGGAAAAATTATTACAGTGTTAAACTAATTATAATTTCATAAATAGAGATTATATTAGTTTACACAAAATATAATTATAACGGTGTTTAAATAAAATGGATGTTGACGTCCTACAATACAAAATTATGGTATAAATGGTGATTGAGCACAAATCTTAATGGTACAGAATCCTTAGATAATGGGGTATTATAATTCAATTTTTGTTTTAGTTGGTGTTAAATCTTTAGTGCCATGACTATGGTTTGTTGTAACCTTTCTTTAATGATTTGCTAAAATGCTTTACTACCCATTTCTATTTTTTAAATAACTATTATTTTATATTTACTTTCTTTATAATTATTCAGTATTCTTCCATTTCAATGTTATCCATCAACAATGATCATTATACAGTAAAGTAAATGTAGAAGGCTTAAGATAGTGTGGAATGTACATTGTTATATAATCTTAGAAATGATATTAAAATGAATATGACTTTTTTTCATGTCATCTGTCTTCTTGACATAGAAGCAGAATAAGAAACTATGCAACCATAAGACCTCACTGGGCAGTATAACAGATTTGGTGTTTGTATTTTGTACAAGTAATTTAACAGCTACAAGGATTCCACTCAACTTCAGTGACTGCAAGTTCATTTTGCAAATAGAATACCTCCTCACACTGGCTGATATATCATTTTTGTTCCCTTTTTACCTATAAAATCATCATTTGGGTCTTGATGTTCACAAGACAGAACTTTTATGGTTTGGTGGTGAGCTTCCCTTAACAATCATTTACTGAGCATGTTTGTGCGCCATTTATTGTTTGACCCATCATAAAACTTCTTTAAGCCTTCACAAATTTGAAATTTTCTTTTGAGTCTGATTTATTCTATTTACTCTTTCCAACTTTCATTTGTGACATCTATCATTGAAAACATACCAGTTCTTAGCGTTCCAGTTAAGTAAAGTTTTACCAAATATATCATAAAGAGCAGAGTAGCAAGACTAGCTCCACATACAATACTGGTCACACATAATATTACAATAACATATTAATTTCACTCCACTTACCTGCCCAGGGCCTGGTTTAAGGCCCTGTATGCTTGAATTTCATACCACTGACGACCAGGTAAAAGACCTCTCAATTTTGAATGCTGGTCATTGTACTGACGCTTTAGCTCAACCTAATAATTTAAAAATATATAAAAAATATAGTAGATGATTAGTCTTAAAGTCCATATTAACTGCTAACATTTTGAATATCACTTTATTAGGGTAGATAGACAGCTGCTATTGAGTTGACTCTGACTCATGGCAACCTTATGTTCAACAAAACAAAATGTTGCCTAGTACTATGTCATCCTCACAATTGCTGGCACGTTCAAGTCCATTGTTGTGGCTATTGTGCCAATCCTTCTCAACAAGGGACACTCTTACCTTCACTAGACTTCTATTTCACCAAATATCCTCCAGCAATTGATCCTTCCTGATAATATGTCCAAAGCAAGTGAATCAGACAATGTTCTGCTGTGATTCGTAAGGTTTTTATTGGCTAATTTTCAGAAGCAGATAGACAGGCCTTTCTTCCTAATCTGCCTTAGTCTGGAAGTTCTGCTATAACCTGTCCACCATGGGTGATCCTGCTGGTATTTGAAATGTCAGTGGCACAGCTTCCAGCATCACAGCAACACACAAGTCACCACAGTATGACAAACTGACAGACACCAAAATCAAGCGGCAGTTTATTAGGATAGAGAGATTTTGTTTTTCAGTACTGAATTTTTTTCACCTCATTTAAAACATTTTTTAAAACTTCTTACATTTCCTAAATTCCCTCATGCATATTAAGTAATTAGCTGTGTGATGATTTCAATCAGTTATATTCAGATATAATTTACATACAAATTCCCAAATTTTTAGTGTGTAAATAGATGACTTTTGACAAATGTATAGTCACATCAACAACACCACAGTCATAAAACAGAACCTTTTCATTACCCCAGAAAGTTACCTCTTGTCCCTCTGCAGCCAGTCCCCTTCCCCCACTGCCAGCCTGGGCAACCACTGATCTGCTTTCTGTCACTATAGTTGTGCCTTTTCTAGAATTTCATGTAAATGTTATCATATAGTATATAATATCTTGTGCCTGTCTTCTTTCATTTACTATAATGTTTTTGAAATCTATCCATGGTCAGCCATTTCAGGAAGTAGCATGTGATCAAGAACCAAAGGTACTGAAGGAAAGGGTTCAAGTTGCACTGAAAGCACTGGTGAAAAACAAGTCTCCATGAATTGATGGAACACCAATTGAGATGTTTCAACAAACAGATGCAGCACTGGAAGCACTTATTTATCTAGGCCAAGAAATTTGGAGACAGCTACCTGGCTAACTGACTAGAAGAGATCCATATTTGTACCCATTCCCAAGAAAGGATATCCAACACAATGTGGAAACTATTGAACAATATCATTAATATCGCACATAAGTAAAATTTTGCTGAAGCTCATTCAAAAGCAGTTGCAGCAGACATCAACAGGGAACTGCCAGAAATTCAAGCCAGATTCAGAAGAGGATGCAGAACAAGGGATACCATAGGGATCCTGGCTAAAAGCAGAGAATACCAGAAAGATGTTTGCCTGTGTTTTATTGACTATGCAAAGGCATTCAACTGTGTGGATCGTAACAAGTTATGGATAACAGTACGATGAATGGGAAATCTAGAACACTTAATTGTGCTCATGTGGAACCTGTACTTAGACCAAGAGGCAGTTGTCTGAACAGAACAAGTGGATACTGTATGGTTTAAAGTCAAGAAAGGTGTGCGTCAGGGTTGTGTCCTTTCACCATACTTATTCAATACATATGCTGAGCAAATCATCTGAGAAGTTGGACTATTTGAAGAAGAACGTGGCACCAGGATTAGAGGAAGACTCATTAACAACCTGTGATATGCAGATGACACAATCTTGCTTGCTGAAAGTGAAGAGGACTTGAAGCACTTATTGATGATCAAAGACCACAGCCTTCAGTGTGGATTACACCTCCACATAAAGAAAACAAAAATCCTCACAACTGGACCAATAATCAACATCATGATAAATGGGGAAAATACTGAAGTTGTAAAGGATTTCATTTTACTTGGATCCACAATCAACATCCATGGACGCAGCAGTCAAAAATCAAATGACGCACTGCACTGGGCAAATGTGCTTCAAAAGATCTCTTAAAAGTGTTAAAAAGCAAAGACGCCACTTTAAGAACTAAGGTGTGCCAGACCCAAGCAACGGTGTTTTCAATCACCCACATGCATGCAAAAGCTGGACAATGAATAAGGAAGACCAAAGAAGAATTGATGCCTTTGAATTATGGTGTTGGTGAAGAATATTGAATACACCACTGGTTGTGAGAAGAACGAACAAATCTGCCTTGGAAGAAGCGCAGCCAGAATGTTCCTTAGGAGCAAGGATGGCGAGACTTTGTGTCACATACTTTGGACATGTTATCAGAAGTGATCAGTCCCTGGAGAAGGACATCATGCTTAGTAAAGTAGAGGGTCAGCAAAAAAGAGGAAGACTCTCAAGATGGATTGACACAGTGGCTGCTAACAATGGACTCAGGCCTAACAACGATTGTGAGGATGGCACAGGACTGGGTAATATTTTGTTCTGTTGTACACAGGGTCACTATGAGTCAGAACCAGCTCGATGACACCTAACAACAACAGAATAATCTTAAGTCTAGAGCTAATTTATCCCCACTACAAAGGTGGTACTCCTCTGATGACTGTATCCAATGTCCCATGTATTATAACATCTCTTTACTCTGGCTGGTGGGAACAGAAACGATTCCCAGCCCTTTGTGAACTCAAGGAGTTGTTCTGCCTACTCCTTTTCCTGGCCTTGGGTAGTTTCTTCTCATGCCTGGGCCAATCTGGACTTTTATCCCTGTGCAGCTCCATTCCCTCTGGCACTCTGCTCTGCAAATTCTAGCTGCTTTGGCCTCCCTGAATTCTTATCTCTGTCTCCTCAACTCAGTGAGACCTGTTTGGGTTTCCTCTCCCTGCACTGTAGCCTGATATCTGCCTCCAGGCAATAATCTGGTGCAAATGTAGGGGTCACTTTGTTTCCTTCCTCTCAAGGATCTCAGTCCTGTTCTATTAGTCAATGTCTGAAAACCACTGTTTCATAATTTCACCCAGTTTCCTAGTTCAAGTTTTATTTCATCAGACTAAGGAACACACTTTATAGCCTACAGGGTGCAGCAATGGGCCAAGAAATATCACATTAAATGGACATACCATGTTGCATACCACCCTCAGAGTAATGATCTGACAGAGAATTGGAATGGGCAATTGAAACATTTGTTATCTAAAACAGGGAAAGATAAAAGCATGAAGGGCTGGCTCACACGCCTTCATGAGTGTGTGCTCACACTCAACATGAGGGGAACAAAGGGAGGATCACCACTGGATAAATTCCTATGCTTCCCTGGGGGATCTGGGGAGAGGGGCTGTGGAGGATGCTGGTGCCACTGTACAGTTCTTCCCCACATCACCTAAAATTGCTTTTTTCCTGCTGGATGCTGTGGTTCCAGGACTAGGGATGCAGCTGCAGGTGCCAAAAGTAGGGGTGATCCCTAAGCAAGAGACTGTAACTATATCCCTGAACACGTATGTCAGAATTCCCAAGGACCTGAGGGGATGGACTGTATCTTCCCCTCATCTGGCAAAATTGGGGTTGACAGTGAATACTGCTGTACTGCCTAGTGAGCAAGATAGCCCACTAGTATTATACCTATGTAGCCCTACCCAACAGGAATCGGAGTGCACTGAAGCGGAAGCACTTGCTAGACCGGTCTTGCTACCAGCAATCTGGACTAGCATAGCAGCTGAATCTAATGTCCCTTCCCAAGGTGCAAAAGTCAGGGTAAAAATAAATGACAAATGGAAGGAAGGAGAAATAATAGCTGAAGGTAAAGGAATGAATTAAATGGGTTATGCAGTAGGGGGAACCTAACATTATGCTGTTACCTCAAGAGAGACTCAGAGCAAGGGAGTTAAATTTTATCGGAGGCCAGAAAAGGTAAAGACAAGACAAATTTTTGGAGAACCTGACCAAATCAGATGGACACCTGCAGCAGACGTGAATGGCTAGTATCTGAGTAACTTCACCCTTAGGACTCTTTTGCCCTACCGAAGGACTAATCGTTAATGACTGTTTTGGACTGGTAAAATGATTGGGAGAGGGAAGTTAATCTGTCAAGTCTGAAAGCGTCAATAGCTAGAAGAACTAAGGGGTGGCCTGTGGTATAATGAATTACTTCTAGCCATTGTCTTTGTAACTCAAACACAATGATTGACAGGGACTATGCAAATAAGGTATGTGGAACACGTGATGGCTGAGGTTATGTGTCAACTTGGCTGGGCCATGATTCTCAATATTGTATGGTTGTCTTCCATTTTATGTGTTGTGCATCCTGACCTCTACATGTTGATGAGGCAGGATTGGTGTGGGGTACAACCAGGGTCACAGCCTTGCAGGAGGGCATAACTCAAGTCCCACCCTTACTCAAGTTATGCCCTTCCCTGGGGTTTGGCCTGCATCTAAGACTTATGTGTGGATGACCTGCTGGGACTTTCCCTCTCTGCATCTGGATCCTGTGTCCGGTTCATGATCAACTGACCTCTAGTTCTTGGGACTTGGGCCACAGGTCTATCATTTGACCTGATTAGCCAGCTTCCGCAGCCTTGTGAGCCAGCAGCCTGTGGTCTGAACTGCTGGTTTGGGTTTGTCAGCCCCTACAGCCACGTGGGTTGGGAGATACCTACCACTGATCTACGGCTTTGGGACTTGCCAGCCTCCACAACCATGTGAGCCATTTCCTTTATACTGTTCATGGGTTCTGTGAGGCATTGCAGTGAATTATGGAACTCAGAGACGAGGGGGAGAGGAATAGTTGATGTTAGAGATGACGGAGTAGTACAGCAGTTTGGAAAAGTTGGACATTTGGGACATCTTTAACCTCTGCCTCATAGAAACCAGCTTTGTGCTGATCCTTATAAAAGTAATTATTTGTTTAGTTGGTTTAGACGGTAAATCTGGTCTTTGATACTCCCTTTATACTGAATTTTATTTTTTTAAAGTTTTATTATGGAAAATTTTATAGAAACACAAACAGAGAATA